ACCGCAAACAGAATCCTCTTGGAAGAGCTTAAAGATTTAGCAATGGCACATCTCCCATTTTCCATCTTTTATTTAACTCCTTTGAACTCCCACTAATTTCCAGGCAACACTCTGGAATTCCATTTTTAGATTTGCCTTTTGAATTATTGTTTTTTTTCTCCTGGGTGTACAAATCTGTGTATGGAGACAGCCTCTCTTTTTTCATTAGGTTTTTTTTTTTTTCGATTGTTGAATAATGTTCTTTGCCAGAATGATTAAAAATAGGGACTAATTTGAAGAAGAAAATAAAAGTGACCTATAATCCCACCATTCAGAGATAATGTCGCTGTTCAGGTTTTGGTGTATTTCCAAGCTTTTTTTCCCCCTAAATGTGCACATACTTTTTTACATGGCTGAGAGTCTTCTGTGGACCAGGGAATCAGGAGCTCAGGTTGCCCTTCAAACTGAGCATGCATTTGTGACCTGGTTCTGTCACTTAGTGACTTGTAGGGCACAGGGAAAATCTTAAGGATCTGTTTACTCCATAGTATGCTGGGTACTGATTATTTATGAATATTTTGAAGAGTAAATAATAAAATAGATATGAAGCCTTGAGAGCAGTTGTTCTCAAGCTGTGGGTCATGACCCCTTTATAATGATGAAAATACATTGCAGCATTAGGAAGGAAATAGATTGATGTTTGCTAAACACTGAATAAGTGTTAACAATTATCACCATTTCATTTTTGCCTTTATGTCCTATCCTAAAACTTTTCCATTAAAACTTTTTTGCATAATCATGATTTTCAGTGGCTACCTGAAATTATATTTTATGAATACACTAGAAATTAATTATTCCTCTCTTACTGAATATATTTTCAAATTTGGGGGCTTCCATACATTATGCTTCAATGAAGATCTTTCTAAGGAACGCGTTTTTTGGTAGTCCCATTTGTGTGTGTGTATATATATATATATATATATATTTTGAGCGAGTCTCACTACATCACCTTGCGTAGAGTGCACCATAGCATCACAACTCACAGCAACCTCAAACTCTTGGGCTTAAGTGATTCTCTTGCCTCAACCTCCCTAGTAGCTGGAACTACAGGCACGATTTGTATATTCTTAGAATTGTTTCTTATAAATGGTGTAACAGGATAGAAAGAGTTTAACAGAGTCAACATTTGTAATACATATTGAGAAGTTGCACTATTTACACTCTCAGCAGGGATGCTGTAGGAGGCCCACCTCACAGTCAGGGTCAACATTGAGTACTTTCATGCAACTTTATCACATTTTTAAATTTTAAACTCCAGACTGCATGTTAAATAATCTTTACATTTTGCACATTTTTGACTTTTGTGGAGGAGGCCGTATTTAATTTGCAATTACATTTATTTAGATGAGTCTTTAAATCACATTTATTTAGATGGGTAATTTCCTTTAATGCTCAACATCTAATATTTTGTACTCTGATTTTTGCATTGTCTTTGTTTGTGCTGCTATGAAAGAACCATTTTACCACAAAGACATTTGAACCAGAACGTTTACTGCAGCTCAATTCACAATTACCAAGCTGTGGAAGCATCCCAAATGCCCATCTCTCAGGGAATGGATTAACAAACTGTGGTATATGTACACCTTGGAATTCATTCAGCCGTTAAAAAAAAATGGCGACTTCACAGCTTTTCTGTTTACCTGGATGGAGTAAAGGCTCTCACGAGTGGGGGAAAATATCCAGTGTACTCAATACTAATGTGAAACCAATAAATAAACAAGCACATGTCCACATGAATGGTAAAACACAAATATGGTCTAGCAAGGGGGAGTGGAGAGGAAGAGAAAGGGTGGCAGAGGAGGGGGAGTAGGCGGCAGGGTGAAGGGCTGGAGCTCACCTAATGTGCACAGTGTGAGGGTGTTCAGCACACCTCCTGGGGGAAGGGCTCAACTATAACTTGAACTTTACCTTAGAATTGAAAACAATAAAACCTAAACATTTATACTGTCATATTAATTTGAAATTAAAAAAAAATACCTGAAACTGGGTCTTTATAATTTATAAAGACAGATATAAATATAATTTATAAAGACAGAAACTTATTTCTCATAGTTCCAGAGTCTGGGAAGTTCTAGATCAAGATGACAGCAGGGCCAGGGTCTGGAGAGCGGGGCTCTCCGCTTCCAACTTGGCACCTTGCAGGGCCGCTCAGCAGAGGGGATGAATGCCATGCCCTGACAGGAAGAATGAACTTGCCCCTCGTGCCTTTTTGTAAGGGGCTAATCCTAGCGCCCTCTAGCCCTTGAACTTGTTTCTGGAGGAGTAAGTTTCAACTCAGTATAAATTGGGGCGGGCACATTCAGACCAGAGCAGCCACACCGGGATCTTTCATCTTCCTTGTCACTCAGTTAGGACAGATCTTCTTCTTTTTTTTTTCAAATAGGGTTCATGGATGCTCTAATTTTCTAAGCATTTTGTTTTTTCACCCATAAAAGACAACTTGACAGAGCATAAAATTCTGAGGTTAAAACTACTAAAAATGATATGTCCCCAAGATGCCGGCTCATCTGGAAGAAACGCAAATGTATAAGTCAACAGTTGCTTTTTATTTCCTGAAGGTAATGGAAGCCATAGGCCTCTAGAACAGGGCTTTTCAGTAGAACTTTTTGCAATGACGAAAATGTTCTATAATTTGAGCTACCCAGTAAGTCAACTGCTAACCTCTTGTAACTATTAAGCAATTGAAATATGGCAGTAGAACTGAGAAACTGAATTTTAACTTAGTTTAGCTACAGGTGGCTAGTGGCTTCCATATTAGACAGCGTGATTCCGGCTATTAATATGTCGAATGGAAAAGAAGCTTAGAGAATGACTCTGATTTTGCCGTCCTGAGCACGTTATATTACTTTACTGAGCATTGGTTTCCTCATCTGTGAAATCATGTAACTGTCCAAAGGCCATATGATGCATTACTATTAAACTTAGACCATAGTCTTAAGTAACTCTTAGCTCAACATTGGTTTTTTTTTTTCATGTCATGATACAATTGACTTGTTTAACTCTTGAGCTGTGATGGTAAAGGCAGCAAATTAGATTAAAATTATATTTTCTTGATTAATCAAACTTCCTCAAACTAATTGCTTTGGTTTACCTGACCACCACACCCCAAATGTCATTTCTAGTTATTCTTTATTCCTATAGACTGCTTAATTTTTCTTTCCTTGTCTTAACCTGGAATTATGTTAATTTATTTAATAATACATTTCTCTGTCTTCCCCTGGAGGGGTCAGCTCCACGGAGGCAGAGACTGTGCTTACTGCTGTATTCTCCTGTCTCCAGAGGGCTGGATGCATGGGAGGGCCTCCTCACACCTTGGTTATGTGAGTGGATCAGTGAAAAGAAATTATGAATCAAATTCAGCTGGGAGAGGTTCTCAGGGGAAAGCGCATGTGTGAGGGAGCCACTTTATCCAATCACACAGAGCTTTCAGTTTGCAGTTAACAGTGTCAGCTTGCGACTTTACCTTTCTGAGCTATGTACTTGTAAGTTGGATAGGCGTGCTGTTATACAGAGGTATTTTCTCCCCAACCAAATTGTCCCTCCCGGGGAACAATTATACTTTTATTTGTGTTGATTCCACAACACCTGGGTCAACTTTAGGAAAAGATGGACATGTGTGTGTTCCTCTGATGAGATGATTGAAGCCTGGCCTAGGAAGACCTTTCATTCCTGGAATCATTCTTGACTCTCTGCATGGATTTGTAAGTGGGGGAAGCACCCGCGTCTTAGTATTGGCATGAAGAATCAGTGAGGTCACAGTACCGTGGCAGGCAGAGTGCCTTGCCTCTCCTTGTCCTCATCGCGCAGGTTACAGTCAAGTCAGGCAGGAACAGTCTTGAAGCACTGATTTTCTGTCTCATCCTTGTGTGCCCTTTGGACCACAACAGCATGAGTCCCCAGCCTGTCTGGTTGATCATTACTCAATGTACCTAAGTTTGGAGGACGGCGGGAGTAAGGGATTGATGATACTGATGGAGTATTTCAGGTCCAGTGTTGTTTGTATGGGTATGTGTAGTAAAGGCATCTCAACTAGGCAGGCTTTGGTCAGTGTGACCCAGCACCTTGCCCCATCGAGCTGCCTGTCTACTCTGAGAGTCTATTAATGCCGAGGAGCCCTTACAATGAAACCCTTCCCAATGGAGGGCCTGGATTTTATTGAGAAAAGCCAATCCCCTCCCATCTGTCATTTGGCACTTAGCGCTGTAGTTATTCTAGATGAGTGAACACTTGTGTTATATTTTCCAATAGCAAAACTGGGGTCACCAGGGTGCCTGCTGTTTTAGCTGAATCCAGATGGGGTTTTCCTATAAACAAGTGCACATGGAATATTTATGCTGCCCGTGGCACCTGACGCCTTAATACTTAGGACTTCTATGTAGTAGCCACTCTTCCTATAAGTCACTTCAGCACACTAAGTAAATATTTTAATATAGCCATGTCACTGTTTATTATAGAATGGCTTGGGCCCAGATCTTGCCTAATGCTTGGTTAAAAAGTCAGTTTATACCATCCTTTAAAGTGAATCAAAGAATGCATAAACGCCACTCTTTTGTTACTCAGAACTCTGTTTACTTTACTTTTCTGTAAACCTTGTGAAATGCTTGCTTACAAAAAGCTGACAGATGCCAGATTTGCTCATTAACTGGAGGTGTTTTCTAAGTCAGGAAGGTGAGGTGTGAATGAGGGAGGTGGGACTTCTTCTCTGAGGCCATCGCCCAGTGTCCTCTGTCCAAGAGGCCTGCTGTGTTGCCAGGGCATCTGGACCCGTAGCCACCAGGCAGCGAATGAGATTTGGAAATACCCAGAATAATGGTTTCCATATGGAGCCTGTCCTTTGGCTTGCAGTGATAAAGAGCACTTGGGCAGTCTGAGGCTTGGAAGGACTTTGAAAAATCAAAGGTATCTCTGGATGGCACATAGACAATCAAGTGGTACTATTCTTTGTATAAAAACGTCACGATGTGCCTGCTTGAGCAGCACATATACTAGAACTGAAATAATGCAGGGAAGATTAGCACCCCTGAACAAGGGTGACAGGCAAATTCATGAGGCATTCCATATTTTTGATTAATACACTATGGCATATGTATACCGTGGAGTACTATTCAGCCATCAAAAAGATGGAGATGTTATATCTTTTATGTTTACCTGGGTGGAGTTGAGACATTTTTCTTAGTAAAGTATCTCAAGAGTGGAAAAAAAAATCCAGTGTACTCAATACTAATATGAAACCAATATACAAACAGGTACATGCCCACATGCATGATAAAACACAAATATAGTCTAGCAAGGGGAAAGGGAGGATAGGAAGTGCACAGTGTGAGGGTGTATAGCACACACCCCCAAGGGCTCAATTACACCTTGAACTTTACCTTAGAATTGAAAACAATGTAACCTAAATGTTTATACCCTCATATTAATTTGAAATTCAAAAAAACCCCTTTGTCATATTTATATTATTAGTAGCACTTATCTTCTAACCCTGAAGACTGGAATGTTCCTGGCTGGTATGGTTATTGAAATTTTGGTATTGCTTCCAGTGCCTACCTCTTGGCTACCTAAAGAGTGTGTAATAAGTACATCAGTGCGATACAACCATCACTTATAGTTTTTATATAAAATTGGTGTTTGATGCAATAAAATTATGAATTGGTTAACACATTTGAGAAATAACCAGAGAGACAATCTGTGGCAAGGTTTCAAGGAGTAGAACTTTTTAAGAATGAAGTAGTGGCCTCTTTTGAGTATGTTGTCAGCCATTCCCCTGAGTGTTATTTCTGTGAGACAGAGTCTGCTCAAAGCAATGTTCACAAAAGTTCCAATGATGCTGTTCTGGGCACATGGGAAAATAGCTGTATTCTAGTGGTAATTTCCCCTGGATTCTTTTTTTTTTTTCCAGTACAAGATGTTACTTTTGACTGACTAAATTATCTTTATGAACACTTTAAAGTATATCTCCCCAGAAGTTCTGTTTATATAAAAATAATTTTCTTCTTTTTTTTTTTTACCATTTGTAGTAGGAGAATAATGCCCCCTGCCCACATGACCATGTCCTAATGCTTGGCATCTCAGAATATTACATGGCCAAGGGTGCAGATGGAATAAGATTGCTAGTCATGTGACTTTAAAATGGGTTATCCTGGAGTATCTGCTGTAATTGTAAGTATCCAGTGTCCTTAAAAGTGGAAGAGGGAGGCAGAAGAGGACGTCAGAGGGATTCCATATGAAAAGGACCAGCTATTATTCTTGGCTTTGAAGATGGAAGAAGGTTCTATGAGCCAAGGAATGTGGATGACCTTTAGACGTTAGAAAAAGTAAGAATATTGATTCTTGCCTAGACTCTCCAGAAAGGGATACACCATGCTAACACCTTATTGTTAGCCCAGTGAGACCCAGACAGGGGTCTTAACTGTGCTCTACCTTAGAGAATTGTAAGACAGTAAGTTTGGTCAGTTTTTGCAGTAGCAATAGAAAACAAGTGCAACAAATATAACATTTATGAATGAAAAAGACATCCATGTTAAAAAAAATAGCAAATGGTGTGCAAAATAAAATAAAAATGACTATATTTGATTATGCACAAAGAGACTCAATGAATGTACCTTCAGTCATTTTTTACTTTGCACACATTATTTTGAGGAGTATCTAATCACACTGTTACCTCATCTACTTTTACCACCTAGCATTATCTCGTGAGCATTTTCTGTACCCTTAAATATAATAGAAAAGCATATATGTTATATTATGGGTGTCACACAGTTTACTTAGTCAATCACCTAAATTTTGTTTCTGTGACAAGTGCATTGTATATTGCTGATGATTTTTTTTTTTAGTAAAAAGTTTTAGAATTAAAATGACTAAGTCAAAAATGTATGAATATAGTTAGATTTAAAAATACGTTTATAACCACACTATCCTCCAGCAAGATTGCATTAATTCACATCTCACAGGCAGCAAACGACTCTATATTTCTCCTCACTACTGACAAAGGCTGGGCACTATTAATTTTTTAATTGCTAGGTTGAAAAGTAAAAAGGCGTATCTAATTGTTTTAGTTTAGCTGAACTCTTTGCTATATGTGCAATAATTAGTTATTTGTGTTTCTTGTCTTGTGATCTTTTATTTTGTGGTTTCACATTGATTAGTAAGTATTGTTTATATATTAAGGATAATAACTTATTATTGCCTATACCATAAGGTACAAATAAATTTTCTTGATGATTTGCCTTTTATTCACGCGTGTTATTCGATCATGTATTATTTGATCTCTGTGTATGTGTAGACAAACCTAAATTTATGCACATGTTATGTATACATAGATTTCCATAAAATAACTAAAATCCACACATCTTAATATTAGGGAATAAAACCCACTGTTTTGTTTTGGTACCTACTTGAACAAATTGTTTTCTCATATGTATATATATTTTGGGAAAACAATCTCTCATTATATATGTGTATATGTGATTATACATTATCAATTAATTTTATTATATATAATATACATTACATAAGATATACATAATTACATATTATATACACACATATACATGTATATTTACATATAGTATTATATAATATGTACCATTGAGAGATTTCTTTTGAGCACTTGAAACTCTAGATAATTTTTATAAATAAATGTTGATTATTATTTCTGACAATTGCATGGTATAGGGTGGCTATAAAGTTTGTGTGCACTTTAAAACCGTGTGCAATTCAAACTCCCACACGAACTTTATGGCTACCCTGTATTATAGCTTATGAACATGTCTTATTTAGCATTTTAAAAACCATATATTCTCCTTAGCAAAGTATCCCAAGAATGGAAGAAAAAGTATCTAATGTACTCAGCCCTACTATGAAACCACTTTATAAGCACCCACACTTCCATATGAATGCTGTAACCCAACTACAGCCCAAGATGAAGGGGGAAAGAAGAGAGGGAGGGGACAGGAGGGTGGAGGATGGGTAGAGGGGAGGTAATTGGTGGCACCACACCTATGGTGCATTTTACAAGGGTACATGTTAAATCTACTAAGTGTAGAGTATAAATGTCTTAACACAATAATTAAGAAAGTGCGGTGAAGGCTATGTTAGCCAGTTTGTTGTATTTCAAATTGTATATAAAGCCAGCACATTGTACCCCATAATTGCATTAATGTACACAGCTATGATTTAATAGAAAAAATCATATATTACTAAACATTTAGTCTACTTTTGATTTTTTAACATTGTTTACATAGCACATTAGCACAGGCAGAGAAGAGACATGCTAAGAGAATGCTTAGACGCCAAGCACTACTCTTACTAGTTTACATATATTAACTTGTTTATTCCTCTGCAAACCCTGTTCTGTTATCTTGATGTATTACTACTTCTCTCTTTCTCCTTTAACACATGAATTAATGAAGAACAAACACACAAAGTAACTGCACAGCCTGCCCTGGATTGCCTGGACTGCAGGTGAACATGACATTGTCTGCCTGCGGCCCTACTTACTCCAGAGGAATGGCCAGTCCAGGTGTGTGCTCTTAGCTAGGAAGTGGGAGTTACCCTCATGAGAAAGGCTCCAGAGCAGAGGGCAACTGGTAGCCACCAAAACAATGTTTCTAGGTTCTCCACTTAAATGAGATCGTACAGTTACTTCACTTACCATGATGCCCTCAAGATCTATCCATGTTGATGCAAATAGCAGTATTTTCTTCTTGTTGTGGCCAAATAATATTCCATTGCATAAATGTATATATCACAGTTTCTTTATTCCTTTGTTCTTTGGACACGCTCTTTCTCTTGGCTATTATGAATAACACTGCAGTGAACATGGGTGTGCAGAGATCTCTGTGGTATGCGTCATTGCCCTTAGGTATACGTCTAGAAGAGAGATTCTGGGTAGTACCATTTTTAATTTTTCAAGAACTCAAAGAAACAGAGTAGAATGGTGGTTACTAGGGTAGGGCATTGGGGAAAAGTGAATATACTGGTCAAAGCATACACACTTTCACTCGTAAAAAGAATAAGTTCAGGAGTTTAATATACAGCATGGTGGGTACAGTTAACAACACTGAGTTGTATGCTTGAAATTTTCTTAAATGTTCTCACCACAAAACAAAAACCAAAATAAGGTAATTGGGTGAGGTGATAGATGTGTATTATGTTAACTAACTTGATTGTGGTAAGCATTTCACAAAACATGTATGTATCAAATCATCACAATGTAAACCTTAAACTCATGCATTTTATTTATCAGTTATATCTCCATTAAGTTGGAAATTTAAAATAAAACACCTTTAGCAACAAAATATCAACTCTAAGTAGAATAAGCCAGTCAGAAAAAGACTAAAAAAACTAATACTTGATGTTTAGTTGTTCCTTGCTCTGTGCTTTAATTATGTTCAAATAGCCCCATGTATTCAGGAAAATAAATTCACACAGTAGTTTTATAAGTGTTTGTATTGGAGATGAAGAGAAGGCTGGATGTATTCCCATTTGCAAGCAGAGCGGAGAGAGTCTCTACAATAAGGAAAGGTAGCTGGGAGTGGGTGTGGGGCCAGCCAGGTGATCAGGAAGAGGCTGAAGTGGGCGTGGGGCCAGCCAGGTGACCAGGAAGAAGCTGTGTGCAATGCCCCTGCTCCAGGATGCCTTGATATTTATGGTATGGAGAGAACTATTGCAATATTTTGCTCTTGGTGATCTTTTAAATGAGACATTCTACCCTCAATGAAGCCCAAACAATAAAAAAAATGGGGGGAGACGTGCTTACTTCTTTTTTTAATTTGAGACAGAGTCTCACTCTGTTGCCCAGGTTACAGTGCTGTGGCATCATCATAGCTCATAGCAACATCAGTGTCTTGGGCTCAAGCAATCCTCCAGCCTTAGCCTCCTGAGTAGCTGAGACTACAGGCACCTGCCACAATGCCTGGCTAGTTTTTCTGTTTTTAGTAGAGACATGGTCTTGCTCTTGCTCGGGCTGGTCTCAAACTCCTAAGCTCAAGTAATCCACCTGCCTCAACCTCCCAGAGTGTTAGGATTACAGGCTTGAGCCACTGGGCCTGGCCAGAGACATAC